GATTCCACTGTTATTTTGTTTTTTTACATTAGTTTCTGATCAGAGAGTATAATTTGGGTTTGGACTCTGCCATTAGCTTTTGGACACCATCACTGCATTTTTGGTATGCATTCCCCCCCTTTAGAATGGTCTTTGCTATTTTATCTGTTCTTTGTTATCCTCTCCTTGCATGTTTTCCTCTCTCTCTCTCTCACACACACACTCACGCACACCTACACTCACACACATCTCTCTTTCCTCGGGGCTCCTTGAATCCTACTGAGATCCCCATGGCTCAGTTACGGCTGACTTTCGTTCCCTTTTTCTTCTGTAGTGCATTTCTGGTGCATTTAAAAAAGCCCATTCATGTCTACTGTCATTCAGTTGCGTTCCATTCCAGACGGGCTAAATATGACTTTCAATTACCATTCAGTTTTTTGTCACTGGATAAAAATGTCCAAACCGGAGGGGGGGGGGGTAGATGATGTTCAAAACATATGACTGCATACTCGCGGCCATCAGGCATCCCCTATGGTGACAAAGAAACGAAAGCAGTTGAAGCTCTTATCACCAGGATCAGACAGACAGAAAACAGGGCAAAATTTTCTTTCCTCAAATTTCCCCACCCTCCCATCGACGTTAACTTGGGGGGAAGGGGGAGGGCAGAGGCAGACGGCAGAAATCACAGGCTTCCGGAATCACTGTCTGTTGCCAACTGATTGCATATCTCCAGCCGTGAAAATGCAGTCACGATCCTAAACGGAGCTCCTAGATCTGAGGCCAAGACCCAACAAAGTGCAAACTGCAGCCTCGCTGAGGAAATGCCTATTGTTCCCGCCCGTGGAAGGGGGCACTTTGCAAGCGGAGAGCCGCGATGTTTTCCCTTGGAGCGCCCGATCATTTAAATCTGCATGGCGGTGGCGAAGTGACAGCTCTTGGGGCTGCGGCAGAGGGCTTTACGCTTTCAAAAGCAAAGGCGGAAGGCGCGAGGGAGGGGGAGATCAAGGGCTGCGCTTGCTCTCCTCTCGCGCGCTCCCCTTCGCTCTTGCCCAGCCTCCGAGTTTCGCTCGCAGCCAGCCGGGGTGGTGGGAACCGAAGCTGGAAAAACCTCCCAGACGCAGAACAAGACCGGTGGGGGGGGGGGGGGGAGAGAGAGAGAGAGAGAGAGAGAGACGTGTTTGGGATTGAGTAGCTGTGACGTGCAGCAATCGCACCGCGACGGGCCCACTTGCCGAAGCCCAGGGGGAAGCCTCCCTCAAACACGCACACACGCCCGCAGCGCAGGGAAAGGCGCCGAGAGGAGAGCGCTGGGCTGCCGCTGAGAACTCGTGCTGCCAGCCTTGGGCGAAGGGAGAAGAGCGAGGCGCGCGCGCGCGCACACACACACACACACACACACTCACTCAACGGAGGGAGAGCCCCACGCACCGGCCACAAGAGAACGCGCGCAAGAGCGTAGCGCGTGCTCGCTCTCTAGCTCACGCACACACATCCCGGAGAAGGATGGGAGCGCACAGGCGCACACTGGAGCGCACGCACATCTTCGTTCTCCCTCACGCGCGCACACGCACGCACCCTGACTAGCTCTTCTTCCCGCGCTCTCCCACAGCTTCATCACCCGTCCTTTCCTCCGCTGGTGTCCGCCCGTTTGAACAGCTATTCGGCAGCCTTGGCCGAGGATCTACCCAGATTTTTGTCTCTCTCCCCCCACCCCCCCCAGTCGGTGTCCTTCTCTCACTTACCTCCGAGCTCGAGGGAGGAGGAGGAGGAGGAGGAGGAGGAGGGCGAAAATAAATAGGAGGAGACCCAGTCCGCCTGGCCACCGCCGCCGCCGAGAGCCAAAGCCCGCCAACCAAGCTGCAAGAAGGCAGCCGGATCCCTTTTGAGTTCGCCTCCTTGCTGGTCCCTGGCGCCTGTTCTCGCGCGGCCGTTGGGCTAGACTTGATTTCCAAGTTAGAGAGAGAGGAAACCTCTGCTATTAAGACAAGTGCGTTTTAATCCCCCTCCCCTTTCTATCGTGGTCGGCTTCTGCTTTCCCCCGTGATAAGTGGCTGGATTTCGTGGATCTGGAAGCAATCCCTTTGCCCGTGCCGAGCCCTCCCCCCTTCTGCGGCTTAATCCCCCCACCCCC